GTCCCTGGAGACAAAGACAGCTGAGAAGCGGAGACAATCTGAACTCCGTGGGAGCATTCTTTTCACCCCCCAAAAAAAATTCCTTGGGGGGTTTCAGAGGCTCTACCACTATTCAGATGATACTCCCCTCCCTCCCTTTGCCCGGGAAGGAGGTTCTGAACCACAGAACAGCTGATGCCTGCTGTTCTTAGCGGTTCTAACACTTTCTCAGGAGGAAGGCTACAAAGTAGCCACCATCGCCAGCGCAAATCCACCGGAAGTCCAAAACCTTACAGTCTTGAAACAGTCCTTCTCCTTCAAATACACACTTCATTTTAATCTTGGAAGATAGCTCTTTATTGTTTCTTATTGATTGTTGCTTTTATGTTGGCATGATGTCTCTTCTAGGAGAAAGTTTTCTCTCTCACTTAAAATATTAGAACCTCAGATTTTTTTTATGAAGCTGAAAAATGGAAGATTCCAGATAAATAAAATGAAGAGTTTTTCACACAGTAGTACTCACTATTACACAATATAGTGATGCAATGCTACTTTATAAGGTCTCCACTTTCTCAAAAAGTTTAAAATAAAATCACGAAGCTAATTATGTTATTTTCCTACTGCACCTGATAATAAGGCTTACTTCTTGCAAGGAAATCTGCTCTAGTTTTTATTAACCAGAACATTTTTGAGGGTTTAAATGACTCAATATATGGTATTTAACATTTTTATTTTCTAATCATAATTGAAAACATTTAACTCTACTTTTTCAATACCTATCCAGTGAATGCACTTAATACCACTTATTGTCAAACATTAACCTTAGAATCCACTAGAAATTACATAACTTTTGATATATTTAATTTAAGAATTGAAAGAAAAGTCTTCATCAGCTAAGCCTCCCATGTTCCCTTCAGATGCAGGGTTCAATTGGCTTAGTTGGGTCTTCCCTTGTGGCCAAAACCTGCTGCTCCACCTGTCAGTTTTCAGATAAAAAGAAGTCTGGGAGGACTCTGGTTTCTTCACAGAATATGGACACCTCCTTTCAAGGGAACACCACCAATGGTTTTCAGACCAAAAAGGGGTTGGGGAGGACCTGCTGCTCCTCTATGCAGTGAGTACGGGCATCTCCTTCCAACAACCTTTTCCTGCTCATACTTTTCCTGCCCACTGTTTTCAGACTCAGGAGAGTCTGGGAGGATCTGCTGCACCTTTAAGCAGTGAGTACGGGCACCTTCTAATCCGGGCTTTGTTCACTGACTTCCCAGATGGTTGCCCAAATCCGACTCTCTCATTTTCCCTTCCATTCCATTCTCACACAGCCTCTCCCTTTTCTCTAACAAAAACTCCTGTGCTCTGGCCAAACCCACTTGCTTTTCAGGGTCTGTCACTTGAACAGATCCTTTTTGTGATTAGGAAAGGCCAGAGGGAGCAAGATCCAGCTTTGATTGGGGAAAAGATCTTCTCATTCACACACACAGACATACACACATTTCCCTCGCTCCCTTGGGCTTTAAAAGTTAAAATTTAGAGGTACTCACCTTCTTTCCAAAGCAGCCCTTGAGCTCAAACTTAAAACTCCCTTTACTACCCTTGTTCCAGATGGGCAGGATCTGCAAAACCCACCCACAGACACAAGGGGTCTGCTACCTGCAAGATGGAGGCTTACCCAGGCCCAGTACATTGGTCAGGTGAGTTTAGAGTCCCATTCTGGGTGCCAAATTGTTGAAAGCAAAAATCATCAGGGTCCAGTCTAATCTGGGAATAAAATGGAGGCTGTTTGGAAAGAAGGTTCTTGTTTATTTAGTTGCCAGAAACTTCAGTGACACAGCGTGTTTCTGGGGTAGCTGACAAAATAGATCTGGCAGGGATGGGTTTTTATACCTTTTGGAAGTTTTGTGTTTGGAGTTATTCCTGTTTGAGGTTGTTCCTATTCCTGAGTCATGTATTTTGACCTGAGCTTTTGCTATTCTAATGGTGGTGTTAATCCTATTATGTCCTAAAGGCCATGTTCTGTCCTTGGGAGTCTTTGTTTTTCTAATCCCATCAGCTCAAACCTTCTCTGGGGCTGTGACTGAAGGCGTTTTGCTTACGATTAGGTGGCCCAGTCTTTCTGAATAGGATTATCAAATCTGCATTTCTACAGAGCTGGCCTGCTCAGTTTCTGCTTAGAAGAAAGGGAGAAGTTTCTGCCTTTTAAGATTTTCTCCATTATTCATTTGGGGGAATTTAATATTCTGCCCTTTTAAATATCCCCCCAAATATTTCCTTCTTTAGGAGGGTGGATGGGTGCTGACTTCAAACATAAGTATATAGATGGAAAACATATCTCAGTAAAACACTTTTAATATAATAAAAGTAGCTCCAGACAAGTTTTGTTATCATCAGTATGGCATTTCACTCCTTTCTGAGGAAAGTGAACTCTAATGCCTTCAGTATCAAAGACACCCCCTCCCAAATTAGTAGTATCCCCAAAGTATTGAAAAATATATCATTAGGATGTTATGTCTCTGTTGTCATGTTTTCCTATACCTTAAATATTATTAAAATAGAACAGTTGACCAACAGGCCTCTCAATAAAATACACAATGTAGGAACTTCTGCTTTTGCACAGTAGCAACTGGTTGCAGGCTTGCGAATTCTCCACAACCCTGCGGCTAATTTCGCCCTACCAGGAGACCCTAAATGGATCTAAGTTGCCCCGGAGAGGCGATGAAGAAAGAAGGGTGCCTCAGCGATTCTGGAACAACGGCGGTTGTTCTGTTCGACTTGGGGAAAGCCTTTTAACCCAACAGGACAAAATCTGGTCATACTTCATCGACCAGCCCAAGCTACTTGCAACCGAAGTCCAAAAGTACTAACCAGCACAACTGTGAACAGCGTGTTTAAAACAGGGTGAGGAATTTGATCTTCTCTTTTCTATTATATAATTAATTTCCTGGAAAAGATCCCCAAGAACAAAATACCTCCAAAAGGGAAGGAGAGGGATTTCCACCCCACCCTTATACTAACAGAAGCGGTGAATTAATCTTTTTATGGAGGATCAAAATATATGAAAGTGAAATAAACATAAAATCTGAAATTTAAAACTTAAATCTGGGTAACTCTAATATTGTTGAATGGTTAAGACTCTCATTCTAAAGACAATTGTTCATTTTGGAAATTGAAAAAGAAATAGATGCTGACACCTAGTGGTGGATGAAGACTATGACAGCTATGACTTTCATATAAGACTTGCAAAACTTGGGAAAAACTAATCTGTGTTTATGACTTTCAAAGCTTTAACAACAAAGAACAGCTGTGGCAAAAAATGGTAATCTGGGCTGTAGACAAAGAATTATAAATTTCAGCGGGAAAAGTCTTTTTTGAACTATTTGGATTACAAATATCTATTTAACCGGGACTCTAAAGCTATTTGCAGAGAAAAGAAAAGAAGAGAAAAACTCAAATTCTTGGCCATTGACACATAGAAAGAACATATCAAGAAAACATAAATACTCCACAGGAGGAGATATATAGTATACTGCAACTAATTCAATGATTTTAAACCACAAAGAAATTCAAAATAACTTTGAAAATATAAATCAATCTGTTTCCAAGTTAACTTTACAAAAAAAAATTTCCCAGAAAACAGCAAGAGAGAAGGAGCAGATAAAACAGATAAGTGGATACAAAATTGAGAATAGAGACTTAAAGATGGAACTTAACAAAACAAGGAAATATGATTTAATCCTAGCGGACATTTTTTTTACAAGAATTGGAAAAAAAACTTATCCCTTAAGACTACAAAATAAGTCTGAGGACAAGAAAACAGACTGGATAAAATGAACTGTAGAGATGTCAGGAACATTGGAGAGAAAGCAAATGATAAGAGAAGCGGAGAGAAAGAAAAAGATTTTCAACAAACATGGAAAGCCAGAAGCCCCGTACAAAGACACTTCATCTGATTTTCTTTTTAAATCTTCAGTAACATTTCTGAACATATGGAAAGACCTTTTGACTCAGCAAAATACATTGATCGAGAAAGATATTGGGCAAAGGAAAAAGACTAAAGTGGAAATCAAGAAAATAGATGATGGAACTTACCAGAGAGAATACTTAAAAAAGAAACATTTGTTTGAATATGGTTAAAGAAATAGAAAAGATTTGGAATATATATGTCATTCTAAGAGGGATGAATCCCTCAAATAATATAGTATGCTTTTTTCCCTTTTTTATTATATTTCTTGATATGAGTAATATAAAAATTTGAAATGGCTTAGATAAAGGAAATGTTTTAGATATTTAAATGTGATTGAATTTAAGAAAATTATAACGGATAAGAAAATGTTTTGAATAAGAGTTAGACTAGATGACTAAATGTATTAAATGGAATATTTAAAGATTAAACATATTTTAATTATGATTTAAAAGAATAAGAAATCTTGGAAACAAATATATATTAGCTTAGGAGGGATGTATATTTTAAGTAGTATGTTATTTTTATGTTTCTTTATTCTTGCTCTCCTTTCTTTTTTTACTGTTTTATCTATTTCTTAAGAAATGTAAAAATGCTGAGATGGCTCATATGGCAAAAAATCTTAACCAGTAAGAATACTTTGAATTTTGTGGGAGAAACAAATTTAAATAAGGACTGTAACAGGATCTATGATAAGGCAACCAGAATGATTGGATAGAAAAGAAATATTATATTGATGTGATTATTATTTTTAAGAATATTGGGAAAAATTATATATTTAATTGTTATCTATCAAAACAATAAGAATTGTATTAACTCAATGTTTGCAAAAGAGGACATTTTGGGGAAAACAGGAAATCAACTAAAACCATTATGTGGATTATGGATTATAGAAATCAATTATTAGTGATTGTTTTGCAAATGTAAACCCAGACAACATACTGTTCACGAATTATTAAGTGATTTATGTTTTTTTAAAAATCAATAAAATATATTACAAAAAAATACACAATGTAGCAAAATATCTTCACTTGCAATTTTACTGATAGTGATAGCAGGAAAACAAAATAATCAGGTTAGAAGTCAAGCAACATGCTTCCTGGATATTTCTCACAGGTTATGAGGAAAATTCTACAATGCCAAGTATTTTAGGTATATTGCATGTAAATCCGTTATAAGCGCTATAACAATCAGCACGTTATTTTTTAAACAATAAACTCCTGCAAATACATTGACTGCTTACATAATGTCAAAAGTATGGGAGTATAATATGTATAAATCCTTTGAGACAAAAGCAAAAGGCACAAGAACACATTTGCTTTTTTATATGAAGGGATAACTTAAAGCAACTGTTCCTTGGGCTCCCTGCTATACAGGTCTTTATTTTGCAAGAAAATATATCAGAAATATATAAATATGTAATTTAGAAACAAAGAACACATTCTCAAACTGTTTGTTCCTCTCCCATGACTGAATTGCCAGTTATTACAGATAGGTCTTGATTAGTGCCGTGAAATGTTTGCATTATTTGAATTCAAATAATGTTGTATTATTTGATAATATAATAATAATAAAGTAAAACTTTTATGGAAAATATGATAACTGGTTTCAGCTCGACAAAAATAGGCAATGAAAAATGTTTAACATAATGTTTCATATGTATATTGGTAAAATATTACAGTAATGGATAAAAAGAATATACTTATAATTTAAATTTAAAGTTAACAAAAGTCACAGGGTGGTTATTGAAAGCAAAATAAAAACAGATTCTACTGTAGATTCAGGTATTCCAATATCTTTTCCTGTTTTAGTATTGCTATGACCACTTTCATATTATTTAAACTGGGAAGCCAACATGGGCAGAAAAGCATTTTTTGCTCCAATCCAAATCTCTTCTTTTAAAATTTGTGTTGTTTTCCTGTGATGGGATCTTTCTTTTCTCCATTTTCCACTCACAAAGATTAGCAACATCTAAAATTCTAACCACAACTCTGCATGTACTAGATTCAATTGCACATGCACTAGACTTACATTAATTGAATTTTGGGTTGAATTAAATACAGTCTGGTATCAATTTACTGTCTATGCTAAATTGAATATTGCATTATTTGAATTTGCACAAATTGCAGCCTATCTATTATCTATCCTGATTTGGCAGCTACTTAAATATCATTTATCTAAGGGGTTATTTCTGCTCATGTTGGCTTCCCAGATCATGAAATACAGCAAAAAAATGACATGCTCTAAACCTCATTTGACAAAAGTCTTTCCAATCATAGCATGTAAGGACTATTGTTGGAAGAATGGTCTGAATACTTTAAAAGGCTGGCAAATAACTGATTTATTTCAGGTGGATTTGGGATGGAAAAGATATGGAATAGTGTAGGAACACAATTTTATTTGGGAGGGGAAGTGTGAAACTTTGGCCCACTTGACCTTTGAGTGAAGATCTGAGGGATGCATGCAGACCATGGATGTGACCAGGACAAAAAAATAAATGATTTAATTTACATTAAATTAATATTATTTTAATGTTTTTAATCAGGATCCCCTTCGATTACACTAAAAATTATAATTTAGTGACAACTTTTGTGTGGCTCAAAGGGCTGCATTCAGGACTTGAAAAAGTCCAGCAGTATGGTCACATGGTTTTTCAACTTATATGTCACTTAACAACAGTTTCCAGTCCCATTAACAATTAGCATTGTTAAATGAGCACCACTACCTGTATAGTATAATTTCAAGTTAAACACAGCACATCCTCCATTGTACATTACTATGGAAATGAACTAATTAAAAAATTCTGCTTATAGGATATTTACATGGTCAGAATGTGTGAGTCATGACTACGATGCATTGCTGAAGAGTGATGTATTAAAAATATCATTAGTAACAAAGCTCCTGGTGTTAAAGGACATGGCTTTGCAAATCCAAGGCTGATCACAGACACTGCACACATCCAATGTATTTTTATTAATTCATTTCCTGTAACACAAACTGAAAATGATTATGTCTTATAGCCAATCATTTGGCAGGATTAGCCACAATAATATAATAAATACAGAGAGAGCTTGCTTTTATACACCAATGCTAATGGTCACATAAACCATGAACACATTTACAATGAATCTTGAAAGTTTCCATTTTCATATTGGTAAACAGTCTGTTCTTCGACATTGGGCCTCACTCCCTTTTCCTTCGGCAGCTCTTTCCTTTGAGCTTCGTCATGCTGAACGGTAGCGCCGTATGTTTTCTTTGTGTTAACAAAAATATCACTGTTTAGTTCAGTCTCTTCAGCCAGTTCATCTTGTTCAAGTATTCCACATTTCTCTTCATTCAAACTTTCTGGGTCAGCCCATTCCTGCTTCTCACCAGAAGCAAAGATAGCATAAAATATCACTCCACTATAATGGACTAAAGCAGCTATTAGAAAGACATTTTGCCATTCTTCACGAGTCTAAAGAAATGACATGGGACATATTTTATATAGATTAAATTTGTATTCCATTTTTCCACCAGAAATAACATTAAAAAATAATATATTAAGAAAACAACAAAGCTGTAGTTAAAATATTAAAACTCAGGAACTAAAAACTTATCAAATAATATAATAAATAATATCACTTTAAAGTAAATTGATTTTATCAGCATGATCTCTTTGGAACCAAATAAAACTATTTTTATGCCAAAAGACAGCCTCTGGGCTACTTTAGCAGACAGAATCTAGGAGCATCTGCATAAAAGGCCCCTTTCTTTTGTTACTATCAACTATGGCTGTGATAGTGGAGGAACCAATAGTCCTGATGGCAGGAAAATGTTATATTTCAAACCACAGAAATCTTCAGTTCTGAATTGATCCTGGAGACAAGCAAGTAACCAGTGACGCTATTGTAAAATGAGAGTCACTTCCTGGGGCTAATTAATAATGTAGCCACATTTCGAATCAGCTGAAATTCTGAAAGCATTTCAAAAAGAGCCCAGTGTAAAAATGTACTATAGCTTGAAAAGTAGGGGCCTTATAGTGGCCACTGATATCTGCAGGAAGAACTTTATTACTGTACTAGTTTTGTACAAACACACACACACACACACACACACACACACACACACTCCTGACCAGCACTGAAATCTACCCTTCAGGTTCACTATTAAATTCAGGAGTGTACCCACATTGCAGATTTGAATTTTCATGGAGTTTATAGTCTCATCCAAATGTGGTTTATTTCCTATTCCTAATCTGACTAGATAAAAGTTCAAATGTATCTTCATGTTTACATTAAGAGGTATGGGAGAAAAAAATGAAGATCCTATAGCCCGAGTTTCCCAATACCTTTTTCTGACACTGCTAATAACTTAACTCTCTTGCAAGAGTAATGTTCATGCCAAAATCCACTTGCTGAAATAAAATCTCATATCCCCATCATGTTTTCAAAATGATCAGGAATGGTTTGAAATTAGTGAAACTAATGATGCTTTAAAAACAATAGCTGACTGCCATGCATTTGAAAGTCATTTAGGAAAAAATACATCTCACATAATTACCTTATGTTTTGTCATTGCACCAACAATAAGAGGGCAGACCATTCCTGACAATGTCCCCACTCCATTAGAGATGCCCATGAGAATGCTGGCATACCGAGGTGCAATATCTAAATGGTTGACATTAAATCCTGTAACACAAAATATAACATCTACAAGGTGCATTCTGTGAGCATGAGAATGATTCAAGCAGCTTTAAATACAACTGCTTCCTTCTTGATCATGAATGTACAAAGCCTCCAAGACCTCATAGTCATCTGGAATTTGAGAATTGCAAACATGGTTACCAAATAAGACATAAGAAAAAAGGGATTAAATACATTAGGGCTAATTGTGTTAATTAGATTTAATTTAATGTCAATGTAAAATTAATTAAATATATTTTAGTTTGGGCCCAACTCTCATCTTATTTTTTGAAGTGTGGATTCTGTGCACAGCCCTAGTTTCTCAAAGAAGGAAAATAATAAGTAAAGCATAGAAAAAACAATTATTTTGAAAATAAAGCACTGAAAAGATCATAACCGCTCATATTTCATAGATAATTCAAAGGTTTTAACTGTTAAGATGAAATTATATTACTAGTTTTGAATATTTTAAATACATAAATGATATAACAAACATATTTAAATAGTCAGTCACTTACTATAGCATAATGATGCTTCTTTTTAATTTTTATGAAGTAAAATTTTTCATTAGAAATTAATCAGTTTACAAAGCCATTTAAGAATGTCAGAATAGCCTTTGTCGAAATGGGTAGCAAACAAGTTTGATACCAGATAGATAGATAGATAGATAGATAGATAGATAGATAGATAGATAGATAGATAGATAGATAAATAGATAGATAGATAGACAGACAGACAGACAGACAGACAGACAGAGATATTGCACAGGTGAAAACAGTGGCAATTTTGAAGATAAGGGAGATGAGATAGATAAGAGTTTTGCAGAGAAAGAAAATGTTCTTCAAATGTAAGTTCTCCAAATATCTGTTATAAAAGAAGCTCAATAGACTGAATAATTAGTATTAATAAGAGAACAAAAAAGGCCAGGTCACATTCATGCAAATCATGTAAAGTTGAAGGCCAAGATTAGGCACAAATATTCAGGGTGTGAAGGGGCAGAAACTGAAGCTTCTAGCTGACAGCTGGTATAATAGCAGTACTCAGATTTCCAATCTAATTAATATTCACATCTACTGATCCTATTACAAATTTAAGTGAGTCAATAACTTGGCTTAATGGCCTTTTTGTTATAATCTTTACTAATTATAAGTTTTACTGGATAGGTTTTTCTGTTCTGTGGAATTCCCTCTCTCCTATTTTGTCTCTTTCCTAATTTCACTTTTGTGTTAGAAATTATACAAGCAACTGGCTTCAAAATGGTCACTGAATTGGTAGGAACAGGCAGGATTACATTTGCAAGTAACTTTAGCCTGCTTTTCAGTTTTTACCATTATCAGTTCTCTAACCCATGAATACAGATTTTCAATTCATTATTTTTAGCATATTAAAAGGTGACATCAAAATTGGTTAGTTTGCCAAACAGAAAATGTTCTTTAATGACAAATTTTTAAGGCTCTATATGTACAAAAATGTTGCCTATAAATTTGCAATCAGTTTTGCATTATACAATGCACATTTTCTCTTTTGAGTGAAAGTTAAGGATCCATCCCAATAGGATATCCCATATCACTACTTTTAAAAATATGCCTTTTTCTTTTGTACCAACAGTGTTTTACAATGTTGTCTAAATTAATTAATTAATTAATTAAATTTCTGTGCTGCTTATCTCATTAATACAGCAACTCTGGGCAGCTTACAATATAATAAAAGTTTAAAAGTACTAAAAACAATTAAATTAACATAACATTAAAAAATAAAATTAAAAGTTAAGAACCAAGGTGATAAGCAGCCTAGGGATGAGAATATAGAAACAGGAAATAGCAATAATAATCCTGCTGATACTAAAATACTTCTACAATGTGTTTAACAGTTTATGTTTTACCTGAAATAGCAAATCCACTAAAGCCTACTGCTAAAACCAAGAATGAAATAGCCACACCTCTAGTGTGAGAATATCCAACCACCAAAAGTAAAGTAGCTTCCATCCCAAAACCTGCAAAGAAAATGTATGGAGAAGATTAATAATTCTTCAAAATACACTACTTCAAGAAGTATAAAATATTTATTTATTTTAGATGTTTTTATTTTTTTCTTTAAAATTAGTTCCAAACCCTAACAACATACCGATTGGTTTCTAGTTTTCTCTGCTTTTTATAAAAACACCATGCCTCTCTGTGTGTGTGTGCACATGTAGGTGTTCATGGGCATGATGCATGAATGTCAAGTCAGGTTATGGCACTGTTTTTTATTATTATCATTCTTACATACATGGTTTGATATTTATAAATTGCTTAGAATTTGTAAGATTAAACCAACATAAAATTCAATATTTCCTTCCTTCCTTCCTTCCTTCCTTCCTTCCTTCCTTCCTTCCTTCCTTCCTTCCTTCCTTCCTTCCTTCCTTCCATCTGCAGCCCCAACAGATTATCTCAGAAGGAATGAAACTTTTAGCAAAAAAAAGCTGTCCCTCTGTCCTCATATATTTTGAAAATTCAACCCCCTCTTTCAATGTACAATATACAAAATGTTTGAGATTTTGCATTGATTATACTTTTTAAAAATCAGCAAATCAGTCTGATAGTTAGATAGTAGCATACAAATCAAATATAAGATCTAAGCATACCTCCACAATTCATGATTTTTCTGACAGCAGTAGTTGTTAAAATTCTGCTGCTGCGCAAAAAGTCAGCCAGTTGGCCTCCAATGGGTACAATAACAGTCATTACCATGTGCGGAACTGCAGATAAAAGACCAACCTGGAAATAAATACATACATTGGAAGTCACGTGACCAAAAGAAATACATTTTTCTCTCAATGTCTGAAATTAATTAAATGAATATTTGAGGAGCACATGATTCCTTAGCATAGGTGATTTTAGTATATTTTGCACTAGAGAATTGAGTTGACAAATTTCCATTTGTCATTGGTTATTACAAATTATGGTGACATTAATTACCATAAAAGGAACTGTAAAAGTGATTGTTGAAAAAATAGCAAAGGTTGCCCAATGGAAACAGCAGGCAAAGGGATGTAGCTCAGAAATCCTATCTAGTGGCCATTCCCTCCTATGTCTTGGATGTGGTTTGTCACCAACAAAGTAAATCTTCTTAATTTTCCAACACAATTAACAGGTTTATTTGAACATTTGCTATAGATAAAATTAGTGTCAAATATTATACAGGCCTCCAGTTTGAGACTCAGTACTAAAACACCAACAGTTCAATTAAAAATATACAATGTTTGTATACATATGCAATATGCAGTATGTTGGTAACAAACACCCAAAGAATTTAAGGACTGCCTCCAAAGACAGCTTATAAAGTGCTGTTATAGAATGTACAAATCATTGGATAACAAAACATCATTTGTATCATAGGACTATTGATATACAGATTAGCTTTTTTTTCTCCCATCAAACAGTCCTTGATTTTTATTATGCTATCTGTATATCAAGCAGCTGGCACTGACTAACAGTGAGCTACATAAAGAGAAGATTTAAACATGCCAATTTATTCAGTATAAGCAAGCAAAAATAATTGAGAACAATCAGCAAGTTACCTTCAGACCTTTAGAAAAATTCCTTGTGTTTGTATTTTTACCTTACTTATTGCAAATCCAAAGACTTCTTCAAAATAAGCAGGCTGACTTATGAGCAGCAAGTAGAAAGTCCAGCTTCTGCAAAAATTTGCCACAACAATTGCATAAACTGGCATCGAAGTGAAAAATTGCTTCCAAGGGGTGCTAAATTTCTAGAAGAGAGAATGCCAAAGCTTTTTAGAATGATGGAAGGTCGTGGTTCAACTGAGTAATATTAGACATCAATTTAATGTTCAATTTGTCATTCATGTGTATTATTTGGGGGAAAGCGTTTTCACTGTAGAAAACAATATTTGAAAAACAAACATGAATAAGTAACCTCTCTTTTTGTTATTTACATAATGAAAAAGAAAAGATTCTGCAGCAAGCAGCATCAAACCCACTGTGTTCAGCATGTCTTAACCAGTCTGGGAATCCATGCTCCACCCCTTTGTTGCTGTCTCAAGCAGACATTTGAGACTGGCAGGCTGGATGGTCTTGGACTTTGGCTCAGAGATGCAACTTTAATTCCACTACTAGCTGAAAGGCACCTGAAACTTCAGTAGTCCCTGAAATCACAACTGGTGGGGAAGGAAAGGCATTCTGATAGAAATAGCTCGTCTGCTTTATAGTAAGCCCTATGCATATTTATGGAATTCAGATTTAATCTTTCTTTAAAAAAATCATCGGAATTTAATGCTAAAATGCAAAGCTGCTCCAAACTTCCTTTTTATATAAAGAGCCAGAGAAAAATTTTAGAAGTCTTTTTGCTACAAGCTTAGAAACAAGAAAAAAAGCATTGTTCCCAAACCTGTTTGATTTATACCAGTGATGGCGAACCTTTTAGAGACCGAGTGCCCAAACTGCAACCCAAAACCCACTTATTTATTGCTGAGTGCCAGGTGGGCAGGGCCCACTGGGTGGGCGTGGCTGTGGTAGTCATGGCAAATTGGTTGGGTGTGGCCAAGGTAGGCATGGTCATCTCAATGTTGCTCGTGGGGAGGGATGCCTATGGGGGATGGGCAGGGTTGAGGGAGATCCAGGGGGTCTCTGGCAGGTGGAGTGGTAGGCAGGAAGCTTGTCCGGCGGGGTGAGGTGAGGCAGGATGGGGGTGCCATTGCCAGAGGGCAAGGCAAGGGCTGGGGCGGCTGCTGCCTGACACCATCGGCCCCCACACACAGAGGCCAGCAAGAGCATGGGGGCTGACGGTGTCTGTCAGCAGCTACAGCCTGCCGGCCCCTCGACCGGTATACTCTGGGGTTCCGCAGCCCGCCACCAGCAGTTCAAAGAAGCCACCTCTGAGCTGGATGGCCGGCCAACAGCTGAGGAGGCAATGCAATGGTTGTGCCTGGGAAAAGGAGAGCATGCCAGGCCAGGCCAGGAGGGATGGGATGGGAGGGAGGGAAACCAGCCGTGCTGGGATGCATCCGGCCATGTGGGACTTCGGCAAGTTAGCAGGTGGCTAATTGAAGAGGGACAGTTGCCATTTCCGAAGCATGGTGTGCGTACCCACAGATAGGGCTCTGACTACTGCCTCTGGCACCCGTGCCATAGGTTCGCCACCACTGATTTATACCATGATTTCAAAAACTTGGGATGAGAGATGGGAGACTGAAATCTGTGCCCACATCTCTTTCTCTCTCCCTTTGCATTTATGTATTAAGAATATTTCTGTTGCTGAATCTAAAAATCACATCAGACAAAATCTGGAATGTCTAACAAAAGGCTTCAGGGTCAAAGTACTATCGCCTAAGCATAAATTAGGATATTAAATCAACAAGCACAGAAGTTCAGGAGTAAGGTTATCGGGGTTAGAATCTTCACAAACATTTAGTTACAATCAGTGGTGGGATTCAGCCAGTTTGCACCAGTTCAGCAGAAGCAGTAGCTAATTTTTTGTTGCCCAGGCCCAGAATGGACTTCCAGAAGTGGCATCCACACACAGAACCGCTTGTTCACATATTTGAATCCCACCACTGGTTACAGTAGTGACAAAATGCAACAACAAATTTGTTGTTAATTGATGTTTTCTACAGTAGTTGTGGACAATAAAACATTTCCAAGAGAGGGAAAAACTATGAAATAAGGCTACAAATAACTTACATTGGTATTGATTAAGTTGGCTCCGCCTATGCTAGTTTCTATGAAAATTTTTTCCTCAGTACTTATTGTTGGATGAACAGCTGGGCTCTCATAAGCTTGCAGCAGCCAGAACATATACCAGATTATCCCAAATATTCCTTTAAATGTAGAATGAAACAGGATTTTGTCAACCAGTCAAAATATTAACAAAATATTTGTCAGCATTATTTCAACATATATTGTTTCATCTATGATATTTTTCTTCACTTGGCAACTTACCATATATATAGAAGACAGATGACCATCCTATATATTGTACCAATACACCTGCAAGTGGCATAGCAACTACTGCCCCAGCATAAGAACCTGCAACAAAAGCCACATATATATGGATCAACAGCTGTAGTCCAACATATCAAACCCATTATATTCTGTTTGGAAGAGCACTACATTGTTAACTAAAGTTTTATAAGCTCAGAGTTGCTTCAATAGTGAGATAAGTTGCTTATAAATGTAATAAATAAATAAATAAATACACCCAATTTTGCAGTAGGAGAGATGAAAACATTGTAGAAAAGTGTTCGATTCATGGATTCTTGTATTATGGAATACACTTGTTTGTGTTAGACAACATTGCATCTGTTAATGTTGCTGAAATACAGATAACCGAGAATGCACTTTGAAATACTACACCTCATGTTTCCCAACAATAATCTAACATGACCTCAGATAAAAGACCTATCCCCATTGTTTGTTTTTTGACTTCATTCAATTTCCAACCTTGGGCAACTCAACCAGTTCTGGGCAATTCATATTATAGCAAAACAATATGAAAACACACCGTACAAAATACATAGACAAATGGATCTGTGCAAATTACAAAAAACACATACAACTTGCATTGACTAACCCTAAAACTTTCAGGGTTGTTGTTAGTCTGGCAAATAATAATAATAATAACAACAACAGTAGTAGTAGTAGTAGTAGTAGTAGTAGTAGTAGTAGTAGTAGTAAAAAGCCTGAGAAGAAAGTCATAATAACCTAATTCCATATTGTTGTGAACAGTATAGGACCAAGAAATCTTAGAGAACACTTTCTTGAACTAAATACTGGCTGTTCAGCCTGGGTAAATAGGGAGGACTATTCCCTGTTACAGTGGTGGCGAACCTATAGCATGCGTACCAGAGGCAGCACTCAGAGCCCTCTATGTGGGCACTTCTCTGAATTGCTGATGGCGGGCTGCAGAGCTCCAGAGTGCGCCGGTTGAGGGGCCGGCAGGCTGTAGCTGCTGACGGACACTGTTGGCCTCCATGCGCTCGCTGGCTTCTGTGTGCGGGGGCCGATGGTGTCAGGCAGCAGCCGCCTACCCACCACCCCACCTGCCAGAGACCCTCTTGATCTCCCCCAACCCTGCCTGGCCCCTACAGGCGTCCCTCCCCACGAGCAACATTGAGGTGACTATGCCCACCTTGGCCACACACACCCAGTCTGCCATGACGACCACAGCGACGCCCACTCAGTGGGCCACGCCCACCTGGCACTCGGCAATAAATAAGTGGGTTTGGGGTTGCAGTTTGGACACTTGGTCTCTAAAAGGTTCACCAACACCGCCCTATTATATGGAAGATTCCATCCTAGTATGAGGTTCAACAGGAAAAAATTGAGGCAGACATTCTTGGGGGCTCTTCGCTTCTTTTGGATTATCTGTTCCCTGATGCAAGGATGAACACACTTTCTTAGGGCCTGCAAGAGAATAATTAAAATTTGGCTTTTCCAAGACCTGTTTGGTAATTAAGCAATCAGAGGAAGGTTTGTGCCAATATTATTTCTCATTATATCTGGTTTTATTGTTTTCTGTTCTACTATCATTGTACTGTGTTTTGATGTTGTAAATGCCTACAGCCTCAGGAGTGAGATCATTTATACATCTTATAAATACAACAAAACTTCATAGTCATATTCCTGAAATCATCATTGCTTAAAGGAGACTTTACATCTGCTCCCCCAAAAGAAAAAAAAGGGTGTGGATGTGGTAAAACTCATCCTGAAATGCTAGAAGGGATTCAGAGGAGGAATCTCAACAGTTTATTTTCTGGTAAATATGTTTTTGTATGTGGAGTCACATGTACACATGTGTGCACACTGATTCACACAAATACATACAAAAAAACCTGGCTATGCCCACTGTCTTCCATTATGAGAGGTGTTTATATATTACTCCCAAAATTTTAAGTGTGCCTTTTGGTCCTAAAATCCGAGGATGCCTTTTCTACAATATTATAACATGAAATAATGCAGGACATTACTGCTGTAAGTAGTATTATGTGATGATTTATAGGAAGAACATGTTACTAGTAAATGGTTAAAAAATGGCATTTGGATCCTATTAAGAGCTCATAAAGACAAGCCATGAAATTCTAGTTTGGCATTTCCCAGTGTTGCTAATTAATTATTCTGGAAGATGCATAGACTCAGGTGTTCTTCTTTTCCTCATTTAAAATTAGTTTATATTATTTAATAGACAGTTAACTTATGTATGAACTATTGGGCATCTTGAGAACATTGGAACTGTTCTTGGAATAATTATAAATAAACTAGTTCAAAACATTTATCCAAACTGTACCTTAAAAGAGATGTTCCAACAATTCTTTTTAAACAATATTTGAATCAAATATAATAAATTGCTTAAGGATTTTTAGGTAATTGTGCTTACATTGATCAACATTCAACTTGTCTGGAAATAAATCAAAACTTTAAAAGAATAATAAATAAAAGGAAAGGCAGTCAAACTCAGAAGAGGAATGAATTAATGTACAAAGACAATAATATCAATAAGTTATAGGATGGTTACTGAAGCTGGAGTTGATTATTGATTAGTATATTCTTACAACACATGGAATCATGAACTAGCCATATATGTTAGTTTAGCATTTGGTTGTGTGAATTGAGTTTTGTGGTTACAACTGGCCCTGTGGTGCAGCTGGAATAACCTAGAGCTAAACATGCTTAAAACTGTAGAGATGAGAGTGGATTTTAGGAGGAACCTTTCTATTCTACCATCTCTTACTATATCAGACAGCACAATATCAGCAATAAAGTCCTTCAAGTTTCTGGGTTCTATAATCTCCCAGGATTTGAAATGGACACCCAACAATAGAACCATCATTAAAAAGGCATAACAAAAATGTTCTTCCTGTGTCAGCTCAGGAAATTCAGACTGCCCCAGCAGCTGTTGACATAGTTTTACTGAGGAATTATTGAGTCTGTCATTTGTACTTCTATAACTGTCTGATTTGGTACAGCAACCAAACAGGATAGGTACAGACTGCAACTGATGCTTAGGACTGCAGAAATAACAATTGCAACCAACCAGCCTTCCATAGAAAATCTGTATATTGTGCGGGTCAGAAGAAGGGCTGAGAAAATATGTATAGACCCCTCACATCCTGGACATAATCTGTTTCAACTCATTTGCTCAGGATGCCACTATAAGGCATTGAATACTGAAACAACTACCGGTAGACAACAGGCAGTTTTTCCCCTCATGCCATCACTCTGCTGAACACCTCTCATAGTATTGTCTACTGTCTATATATACTGTATTTACCCATGTTGTACGGCTGTATTATTACTGTTATCCTTCTAATCTTCTTTACTACCCTCTCTTATTTATTTATTTATTATTATTATTGATCATCGCACAGTCAGCCAGATGTTCAGACTGGATTTGGCATTTAGTCTACCTATCGAGTCCTTACCCAGGACCTGGGATAGGCAGATGTGGCTGTTTGATGGTATTACAGATATTGTCGCAGGATGGAAGCAGTTCCTAGTAAGGCCGCCTTTTGCAATTGACTAATAGCGAATTTGTCAATGCCAATGGTGTTCAAGTGGTGCTCCAGTTGTTTTGGGATTGCACCCAAGGAGCCTATTACTATTGGTACTACCCTTGCTTGCTTTTGCCACAGTCTTTCTATTTCTATTTGTAGGTCTTTGTATTTTGTTATCTTCTCCAGTTCTTTCTCTTCTATTCTGCTATCTCCAGGCACTGCCACATCCACTAACCAGACTTTTTTGTCTTTCTTATCGACAATTGTTAAGTCTGGGGTGTTATGTTGCAGGTGCTTGTCTGTTTGAATTCTGAAGTCCCAGAGCAGTTTAATTTTATCATTTTCTATGACTTTCTCTATTTTATGATCCCACCAGTTTTTGCTTACAGGCAAATGATATTTTTTGCAGATCTTCCAATGCACCATTGTTGCTACTTTGTCATGCCGCTGCTTGTAGTCAGTCTGTGCAATCTTCTTGCAACAGCTTACCAAGTGGTCCACTGTTTCTTCAGCTTCTTTGCATAGGCGGCACTTACTGTCTGTTGCTGTCTTCTCAATTTTGACTTTATATGCATTTGTCCTTAAGGCTTGGTCTTGTGCAGCCAGAATTAGTCCCTTGGTCTCTTTCTTCAATTTTCCTGCTCTTAGCCATTGCCAGGTCTTGTTAATATCTGCTTTCCCAGCTATTTTTTTAATGTATTGGCCATGTAGTGCTTTGTCTTCCCATGCCTCTATTCTGTTCTTCATTTGATCTTTCTTGTAGGCCAGTTTGGTCTCTCCAGTAGTCAGTAAGCCTTCCTGATATACTAATTTCAGTGCATCTTCATCATTGTTCTTCAGATATTCTTCCAGAGCCATTTTTTCTTCTTCAACCATCTGATGTACTTGTAGCATTCCACGCCCACCTATTTGCCTTGGTAGATAAAGTCTGTCAATGTCACTGCATGGATGAAGGGCGTGATTTATTGTCATTATTTTTCTGGTCTTCCTATCCATTGCTTTTAGTTCTGCTTGAGTCCAGTCCACTATTCCAGCTGTGTACCTAATGACTAGAATTGCCCAGGTCTTGATTGCCTTTGTGGTATTTCCTCCACTGAGTTTGGATTTTAAGATCTTCTTCACTCTCTTGATGTATTCACCTCTAATCTTTTTCTTGACTTCAGTGTGCTTGATGTTGTCAGCTTGAAGGATACCCAAGTATTTGTAGTAATCTTCCTCATCCAGACTCTTAATGTTATTTTTGTGGGGCATCTTGATTCCTTGAGTTTTCACTACTTTTCCTTGTTTGATAGTAAGTGTGGCACATTTGTCCAAGCTAAACTCCATAACAATATCTTGGCTATATATATGGACAGTGTTGAGCAGTGATTCTATTTCAGATGATGTTTTTCCATACAGCTTCAGATCATCCATGTAAAGGAGATGGGATAGTCTGGTAGATGTTTTTGATATTTGATAGCCATGTCCTGAGTTATTCAGTATTGTTGACAGAGGAAACAGTGCAATAACAAATAGTAATGGTGACAATGAATCTCCTTGAAATATTCCTCTCTTGATATTAACCTCTCCCAGTCTCTCACCATTGATCTGCAACTGTGTCTTCCATTGTGTCATTGATCTTTGCACAAATTTTCTGGTTTCTACTTACTCCTGTTATTTCTAAGCACTTGATTATCCAGTCATGTGGCAGAGAGTCAAATGCCTTTTTGTAGTCAATCCATGCCACATTCAGGTTGGTCTTCCTTTTCTTGCAGTTTTCCAAGATCATTTTGTCTATTAGGAGTTGATCTTTTGTTTCTCTGCTATTGGGGCGGTTTCCTTTCTGCTCAGGTGGAAAGAGATTGTTTTCAACTAGATGCTGTTGTACTGCATCAGCTACCACACCAGTTAGTAATTTGAAAGTTGTTGGTAAGCAGGTAATTGGCCTGTAGTTGCCTGGTGTTGCCCCTTTTGCTGGATTTTTCATTATTAGGTAGGTTTTCCCAGTTGTTAGCCACTTTTCAATTTCTCCTCCTTGTAGTATATTGTTGAACTGCTTGGCAATGAGTGGGTGTATAACAGTTAGATGTTTCAACCAAAACCCATGCAGTTCATCTTCACCTGGTGCTGACCAATTTTTGATTTTCTTTGCTCTTTTTTCTACCATTTTTGTTGTTATTACTAGTTCTTTCATTTCAACTTCTGTTTTATTTGCATCCACCTCTTTTAACCAAGCCGCATCCTTGTTGTATTTCTTTGGGTTATCCCATATCTGCTTCCAGAACTGCACTGTTTCTTCCTTGTCAGGTACTGACTGATTCCTTGCAGTTTCTCCATTGATGGATTGGTAGAAACGTTTCTGATTGGATTGAAATTGGAGGTTCTGCCTATAGTTTGCAATTCGAGCTTCATATCTACTGATTTTCCTGGCTATAGCTGTTATTTGTTGCTTTATTATTTCCAGTGCTTCCTTGATCTTCCTTGTTTCTAAGTGGTATTTCTTGATTAGGTATTCTTTGGTCTTCTTGTTCTTCAACTTCTTTTCTTTCATCTGTTCTAGCTTGCTTGCATGTGATCTTAACTTGCTGATCTTATTTTTTAATTATTATTATTATTAGTAGTAGTAGTAGTATTATCATTATTATGCTTTGCATGTACACTGAGAGCTTCTGCACTGGAGACAAATTCCTTGTATACTTAATCATACGGCCAAATAAAATCTTCTCTTCTCTTCTCTTCTCTTCTCTTCTCTTCTCTTCTCTTCTCTTCTCTTCTCTTCCATTCCTATTCCTATTTCTATTCTTATTCTAGTATGTTATCTGAACCGCAAAAATTGAATTGAATATATAATGCAACAAATAAATGAGATATATAAATAAAGTCAATATCTGATACAGGAGTATATGTTAAAGCAAGTGATATGAGTGAGTATATATTAAGGCAACAAAAATCTAAGCATTAAAAGAAAAAACATTTTTCCTATTTTTTTTCCTAACTGAAATGACCATAAAAAAATAGAAACCATATGTGCTGAAATGTATAAGATAAACAACAATTTTACACCAGTCACCAAAGGCAAAATAAATGTCCTTCAAGTATTAAGAAAGTTTCCTTGGCTATTAAATCCTCAAATGAAAAATGTGAATACCTTTTATAATCAGCATAGTATTTTTCATTAAACCCATTGTGCAGGTATTTTCTCAAAACAAAAGAAAAAAAATGAACATACCACAAAATGAAATAGTTGCCAGCCTGCTTCTTTCCAGCGGAGGAGCCCATTTACTCCACATCCCATGGCATGCTGGATAAGTCACCCCCTAGCAAATTTTGCACAGCATTAAATTTTTGCATTTAAAATTTTCCTTTATGCTCACATTTTTATTACTTGCAAGTAACTGGACTTTTTACTGTTTTAGACAGGAATCGTCTGCAAAAGGAAGATATCTCACTTAACATAAAGGGAATAACTTGAAATGTGTACGCGCGCTCATGTGTGTATACTTACACACGTTATAATGTGTACATAATACAGTACAGAAAGGAAATAATGATTCACTGTGTAGAATTCTATTAGAATTTTGGTTCCTTTAATTGCACAATACCTATATTTCCTCAAATATAAATATTACAAACCAATATCTGTGAAGATATTTTATTAAAGTCCTGCCCCAGACACGAAACTTTGTTTTAATAGTTTTAAGAATGGAAAGGATTTGAAGGATCCAGTTATTTCAAATACTGATTTTCTTCAATAGGAACCTGCTTGTTATTTGTTGAAGCTGACATTATTAGTTGAAATTCCATGTCATATTTTCTCATCTTTCAGAGTTTACATGGCTGCAAATTAAACTTCAATTCATTTTGTTTTTTGGAATTTTACTATAATAGCATATTTCCAGAGGCCTCTGCCAGCTCAGATGCTTTAGTCAAAATAATGAAGTCACCATTGTCCTGTTGTGACATGAGTTTCCTCTTCTCTATGTGTGACATCACAATGTGTTTACAAAGGAGATGGCACTTGCTCTCATTTGCTTTCCCTCTTGATATCCACCATAATGGAACTGCAAGTTCCCCTCCTGTTCTTTATGTCACCAAGCTTTCAAATATCGAGCATTTTTTTATAGCTTGAAGTGATATCCTTTTAATACTTATTTGTTGGGTATACATCTTACTTTTGTCCCAAGATGTCATGTGGACTACATAGCTCTTTTTCTTCCACCCCTTTCCCCTGTTTGAACTGAGAGAAATTAATTGGTCCAAAGTCACCCAAGAAGTTTCCATGATGGACGATAAGCTTGAATTTGAATCTTCCCACTCTTAGTCTAATATTTAATCATTGCAACAGATTGCCTTTTGGTGGAAGGAATACAGAATCCAACCCTAAATACATTTAAGGAGTTAGGTACTGTATATACTTACTAAGATCAGTGGTATTTACTTTAAAAGTTAACAATATGGGAATAATTCTACTTCAAGAATTATCAGGCTCACTGATGTAAATTAACTAATATCCCCCCTCTTACCCCAATTGACTTAATTAACAGTAGACAGTTGGAAGTTCGGAGCAACTAAGAGATTCAATTTTAACACAGTTGCAAAAAAAATTACCTGCCCTGGAATGATGCAAACATTATTTTAATTTTTGTATTGCTTACATGCAATTAATGAAAACTTAATAACGGTTGCAAATAAACATCTACATTGGTACTTACCTCCACAAGGCCTTGTAAAATTCTTACAAACATAACACACCCATAATGTACTCTGGCAGCTGCAGGAATGAACATGTTTAAAGTTGAAGTTAGGAAAATTGCTGCTCCAAATACCCTAAAAAAAGGAGAAATATAATTTTCCCCTACAATTTCATATCAATCAATCAGAATAGAGCTGAAAGGGACCTTGGATGTCTTGCTCAAGCAGGAGACAAGTGGCTGTCCAGTCTCTTCTTTAAAATCTCGTGTGAGGTTTTATCATGACATCATATTACCATGATGCCATGATACTATATACCAGTGTGGAATTCTGGGAGTTGAAGTCCACATGCCTTAAAATTGTCAAGGTTGAGAAACACTGCTATATACTAAGCTGAGGAAATCTGGCCTGAACAAAAGTTCAAAATTATCCAGAGATCTTTTTTTTTTAAAAGGACAAACTAATCTTTCATTGAAGACTTTATATTCTAGAATTGCACATAGCCAGCTAATACAACTGAGCAATTTAGCTGAGCATAAACTAAAATATATGATATTTATAGTTCTTTGTGCTGTGAACATTTTAATAAATGTTACTCTCAAAATGTTCACTATTTAAAAACTTTTTAGTCCACAGCTTTCTTTACTAAGTTCTTCTGAAATTAACATCATTATTTTTATTTCAGAACACAAATATATAATCTGACAAGCTTTAATTAACAGCAATAACTATCAGAGAAACTACTAGTAGTTGTAGTTTTACAGTAATAAACTATTTTTGTGCCTCATTATAGTAAATAAAGATTAATATTAACTATTGATCCTCAAGCTGCCATATTATGTCCATTTCCTCACAATGTCCCACTAAGCAGCATGGAAATAATGTTTTTTAAAAATGTTGTTACTGTTTGAAATTATATCAATACATTTTTAGAATAGAATAAAATAGAACAGAATATTCTTTATTGATCAAGTGTAATTGGATACACAAAGAATTTGTCTCCGGTGCATAAGCTCTCGATGTGCACACAAACAACAAAGTAATACAATCATAAGGTACCAATATAATCATAAGGTACCAATAGGATAAGGTAGTAGAAAAGATGAGAAGGATAATAGTAGTACTGCCATACTGCATGGGTAATACTACTTGTCATTTAAATCTACAAATGATTTAAACATTTTTGTTAAAAATGTTGAGTTCTAGAAAACTAACACTATTTTTGTACATATTTTTGTACATATCTTGTGTTTTTTCAAATTCTGCATTGCATTATATTATATTAATATATTACCTGTTTGCTGCTAGTTTATTTGCAATGAAGCCTCCTGGAATTTGTGTAACAATATAGCCCCAAAAAAATGATCCATGAATGAGTCCTACTATTTCTGGATCCCAGCTGAATTGTGCTTTCTACAAATAAAACAATATTAAATAGTAACACATAGCCAGTATCTTGATGTTTGTAAAAAATATTTTACTGCAAAATCCAGATATTGCAATAATCGTTAACCAATATTTGTGGATTTTTAACTCTCCAAGAGCTGTAAAAGCAAACTTATTTGATGGCAGAAGAAAATTTTGTGAGTTCTTTTTTATTAATTAAACTGTACTTAAATTATATATAATATGTTTAGAGTATTAAATAAATGTGTTTAATTAATCAGCTAGTATGCTCTCAAATTGATGGACTACACAAATTTTATTTTACATCTGAATGTTTGAAAGTCCTTGCTGATATACATATTGTCCACAATCATATTTCAAACAAAAGAAAGAAAAATATCTGGGGCATTTTTATTGCAACTATTCACCTATCTGATTAGCCAAATTAGATAACTCCTTTGTTCTAAATACAGGTATCTTCCCCAGTTATGCTACGGTTGTCCTTGATTTAGTACATTTCTTGTTAATGTATCTTCACTCCGACTGTAATTTGTAAAATATTTTAAGGGCATCTTTCATCTGAGATCAGGACACATTACAATAAAGCACATATTGGTTTATTGACTGAATTTGCTTAGGCAAAGCAAACCTAAAAAGGGGGTGGGGATACAGTCCCTCTTTATAGATTTATGTACATTGGAATATATCCAGATATTTCACTGTATATAACACATCATGCACTTAGTGAAGACAGTGGGACCTGTAAGGTAATATGGCAGTACAATGGGGTTTTGAAAGAACAAGAAGGCAGTTATTCCAGGACCACAATTTCTTTACAGTGTTACTTTCTTTCATTTTCCAGAGTTCTCCTTCTCCCAGGATCTTTTCCCAGAGTGTCAGGACCTCTTGGCTTTCTAAACTATTGGCTGAGCTAATAGTTTTCCAGAGAAGGCATAATATGTTTAGAGCAGTGATGGCAAACCTTTTAGAGACTGAGTGCCCAAAAACTGCCCCTGCCCCCACTCCGCCTCCCGCCCTGCCTGCTCTGCCCCTGCCCCGCCCACCCGCAGGGCCACACACTGCTTCCATGGCCTGCCGCAGCAGATCCAGGCAGCCCTGCAGTGCCATGGCAGCCACGCCCTCCGCCCACACCCCGCAGCAGCTTCTGCATGCTATAGGATGCGAGAGCCGAGTCTTGTCCCTGCTGCCTGGCTATGTCCTTGGCTGCGCTGCTCCGTGCAGGCCGCGCCCAAGGGTGACTCTCCTCCAGGGGGATGCTGGTGAGGAGGGGGCTGTGGGGGGGAAGCGGGGCTGCTGCAACGGTGCATGTGCCCACAGAGAGGGCTCCGAGTGCCCCCTCTGGCACGCGTGCCATAGGTTCGCCACCACTGGTTTAGAGGCTTTTAATTTGGCTCCAAGAATTCTCCCTCAATTCAATGATATTGCTTCTGGTTTAAATCTCCATTTTTACTGTGCAGTAAGTGTTTTATGAAGCTCTTTGTTCCATCCAGGACTATTTGCATCTGTCAGCCTGATCTACTTCACAGGGTTATTATAAAACCTGTGAGTATTGGCATATGAGGAGAAATATATACTTCCACCTTGAGTTCCTTGAAGGAAAAACAGGCTGTACATCTAATGAAGAATCACTATTGGAGTTAAACTATAATGTTTCATAAATGCCACTAAACGCTTAATAGAAAGCCCATTTGGTATAGTAGTGAAGGAATTAGGCTAGAAACTAGGAGACCATGAGTTCTAGTTCCATCTTAGGCATAATAGCCACTCTCTCTCAGCCTTAGGAAGGAGGCAATAGCAAGCCACTTCTGAAAAACTTTGCCAAGAAAACTGCAGGGATTGTCCAGGCAGTTCTATATCAATTACAAAGACCCTAATTAGCTTATACTATCTGAATATCTGCTAATTCCAGTGTCTATTGGAAAAAAATGAAAAAAAAATAAAGATAATAAACTTTTTAATCTGATCTCTTCTGGAGTATTATAAGATATTATTTTTCTGTGTTAAAATAATATATCCTTCTACTTACCTCAGTCTCTGGTTTTCCATTGATGTAGACTGTGTTGTTATTAACCATTTCCACAATAGCAACACCAAGATTGCATCGAATTCCAAAAGAAATGCAAAATCCCAGACCACTCATCATAGCAATAATATAACGTTTAGGTAATCCACAGCAATAGCAATCAAATAAAGGTGGTTTAGTTGTTGCTTGCACGGGTCTTCCCTCTTCATTCAGCTCTATGGCATCTCTTTCAACATTGGTTCCATCAATTTTTCTAAAGTCATGCAAAACAGAGACAAGGTGTGTTCAGAGAAAAATATACTCTCAGAAGTTACTTAAAATAACTAAATAATGAAATGCTTTTGTTACATTCCCACTTCTTAATAAATTACATTTAAATAGCATGGAAAGAAAAAAGGAGCCAGCTTTTACAGAGTACCCATTTGCAATCTGATGTCCTATGTTGTAGCCATAGTTTCCCAAAGTACTAAAACTGTAACTCATCATCTCTGGATGACTCATAGAATATTCTGGAAAGCTAATATAGTGATAGTAGCATTTCTGATGAGGCAGCTGCAAATCTAGTTCATCAACCATCAGGGAGACAGTAACAGAATAAAAACTGCAGTGTTAGAGAGTGAGTCCTAAGTGTACCATTTAAGTATTTTGTTTAAAAATGTATTTTAATGTGATATTACTAAAAACATGGATTGGGAATCTGTTGTGTTGTTCCCCCCCCCCAATTTGTTGCTGAATACAGAAATTATAGACTCTTCTAAGGTTTGCTGTTCAGCAATAGCTTGCCTTTGCTTTGCAGAACCTTATTTAGAGGTGCCTTAAGAAACTTGTTATAGAATAAAAGACAATATAGATCTCATTAGCAAATCTATTATTTGAAAGTATGTTTGATCCTCAGCTGTCTTGGGAACTCGCATGTAACTTTGATGAGGGTTGTATTCTCTGTAACTCTCATCAAGCTAGTCAGATTTGGCTACTGCTCTATTGTCAAAAAACCTGACAGTTCTTAAACTATTAAAATTCTAGAAAGAACTGTATTTCTTACACACAAGAATTACATTAGAACAATAGTTTAAATTAGAGGATATGCTTGAGTAAAATAATACAATAAATGTGTATTTGTATTCTGAACATTTAAAGTGGTACCTTGGTTTTTGTATTGGATTATATTTAACTATATTTTCTGCTTTGTTTATAAAAGTTTTCATACTGTTTTTCTTCTGAGCTGGTTTCTTAGCTGCCTAGAAACGTGTATTTAATATGGCTAGCCAATTACATTTTCTAAATAAATAATGCAAAGCCATAAGAGGGTTCAGAACCAAACCCAGGGGAGAGCAAGAAGGGCAAATGATAAAATATGAGTTGTGTTATCACTATAAAAAGCCCATGATTAAGGACACAAGTTAGGACACAAGTTAGGACACAAGTACAACTTGTGATATTGTAGTACATGTTTGTTTTTTGTCATTTCAGTTTGTATCAGACACTTGTATAGGTTTTCAAGAACAAGAGTGTGGTGGATGTTTCATACAGAGATTTTCCATTTTAGGAAAGGAAAAGTGTATTCCATTAAAGTGAGTATATTACTAATGGACAAAAACTTCTCACAGTGTGTGTATTTGCATGCTGTTTTCTATTTATTCCAGGAGAGTAAAAATATATTAACTGTTGCGTCCTTGGCGGGAAAGCAGACACGAGAAGCAGCTGGAGTTCTCAGTTTCTTTTATTCAGCGTTCAGCTTACAGGAAGATGGCTTCAGCCTCGCCCAAACGCCTCGCAGCCTCTTATATAGGCAACTCCCGGGTAAAAGGGTTACTTTTCCCGCGCCAGCACCCGCGCATGCGCACGGCGCTGGCGACAGCCTGTCTGGTCCCGGGCAGCTTTGCACCTGCCCGGGACTGCCTGCAAACGCCCGAGCCGTTTGCAAAGGCTCGGGACATAACACCCCTTTCCCCCGGGCTAAAACTACTACCAACATACAACATTTATTTTATATGACATTTTGCTCCCCAATGTTCCCACTGTTTACTGGCTTTTGCTTTGCCAGCAATGTTATGTAGTCTTCTAGGTACTTGGGAGATTTCTTTGCTCTCTGTGACCTTCTTAGCTCTGGATTACTGGCATAAGTCCCCTGACTGGAGGGAGGCGTGAGCCTTTTCTCTCTATTGTGCCCTGGTGTCTTCCAAGGACTGTGCCCCAATGCCTGGCCTGCTCGCTTGCCCACCGGGCTCGTCAGGCCAGGGCTTCTGTTGCTTTGTGACCTGGTTGACCTGCCTAGCTGTAGACCCTCGGGCCCCTTGAAGTGATAGCCGCTGCTGGGCGTCTCTGTAGGACCTCCTAGGTCAGTCCAAGACCTGTCAGGAGGCTGTCCATTCCCTGAACCCCATTCTGTGTTCGGGCTCGTGTGGGTTTCTGTACTTTCCCAAAACTCAGGTGTTCCCTGATTTGTGCTAGGGGTGTTGTAGTCGGGACTTGGTTCCTCGACTAGCTCTGTGTATGTTTGACCCCCTGTAGGATTTGGGGTAAGGTCAGGCCAACCTTGGGAATTGTGTGCCAGCTCTCTTGCGGGGAATGATTTGTTGGGATGCCCCCGGGTATCCTCCGTGACTGGAGTGCTGTGTGACGTATGTGGAAAGTGAGTATGCCCCCGGGTGACTCCCTGGCTGGAGTAGGCGTGAGTGCCTGTTGTGTGGGTAAGCTCCATGACTTCCTTTTCGGAGCAATTGCGGAATCTTGGGACGGGCCGTTTGTGGCTCCCTCAGTGGAGATGGGCAGTAGCTCTTGCCCTTCCCTTTGCTCCAAAGGGTCCCCCTCCCCCCCTGGAAAAGACCCAGGAGTCTCAGCAGAAAAGTCTCGCCTAGAGCGAAGTTGGTCGATGTGCCGACGTAGGACACGACCGTTGTCCAGGGCAACCTCGTAGGAGAGAGGACCTGTGATCCTGGACACAGAAGCGGGGACCCATGTATGACCAGGCCCGTAATTGCGAGCCCAAACCGGGGCACCCACAAGTAGTTGTCTAGGTGCCCTAGGATGTGAGGTAGATGAAGGCAGTCTGTCCGGATGCAACCGGTCAAGTCTAGTAGTAAGTTGGCGCCCCCAACGAAGTTCAGCTGGACTTCTCCCTGTAGAAGTGGACGGTGTGGTGCGATAAGAAAGGAGAAAGTCAGCCAACCTGTGATGCCAGTCCCCGTAGGTGAGTCTCTTCAAGGCGTCCTTTGCGATGCGCACCATGCGTTCAGCCATACCGTTGGTGGACGGGTGAAAAGGCGCAGACGTGGCATGACGAATCAGGTTTGCCTGTAAGAAAGCTTGGAATTCGGAGGAGGTGAATTGAGGGCCGTTGTCGGACACAATGACATCTGGCAGCCCGTGTGCAGCAAAAATCCCCCTCAGTACCTGAATAGTCTTTGCAGTGGTGGTGGATGAGACAGGCACAACCTCAAGCCATTTTGAATGGCTGTCAACAAGGACCAAGAAGAACTGGCCCTGAAAGGGCCCAGCGTAGTCAATGTGCACCCTAGACCATGGGGACTGTGTTTCCTCCCATCTATGCACAGGAGCTTGGGGCATCTCTGGGCGAGATCGTTGGCACAGGTGGCATGCGTGTACCTTAGCCTCAATATCTTATCTAAAGCAGGCCACCACAAGTGGCTTCGTGCAAGAGCCTTCATACGAACAATGCCAGGATGACCCTCGTGGAGGGATTCTAAGACCCTAGTCCTCATTGAGGTGGGAATGACAACTCTGTTTCCCCAAAGCAGACAACCCTGAGAAAGGGACAGTTCGTTTCCTTTTGGACCAGAAACTCTGAAACTCAGGACTAGGGCAGTGCTCAGGCCACCCGGACAGGACCCAGGAGCGGACACGTGAAAGTGTGTGATCTGTACCCGTTTCAGCGGTAACATCCCTGGCACTAAGAGGGAGCTCGGGCAAGGCTTGGATTGATAGAATGTTGACAGCTGGCGCGGGGTCAGCTTCTACTACTGGCAGAGGCAACCTACTGAGGCCATCAGCATGGCCCATTTCTTTCCCAGGCTTGTGGAGTAATGAAAAATCATTGCAGACAAGAAAATAGACCACCTAAGCATTCTAGGGGAAATATGTGGGGAGTCTGCTTACGTGTGGTAAACAGTCCCAGCAGAGGCTTATGGTCAGTGAAGACCGTGAAATGCCTGCCATATAGAAAATCGTGGAATTTTTTAATTCCAGCACAACAGCCAGAGCCTCCCTGTCTATCTGAGCGTAGTTGCGCTCGGCAGAAGACAGTGTTCTGGAGTAGTATGCAATAGGAACCTGAGTTCCATCAGACCTGAGGTGACTCAGGACAGCTCCAACCCCGTAGGGGGACGCATCACAAGCGATGCACACAGGAAGAGACTCGTTGAAATGTGCAAGAACACTGTTAGAAGTGAGCAAGGCCTTGACTTCTTTAAAGCAAGCCTCATGTGCTTGTGACCACAGCCACACAGCTTGTTTGTCTAGTAGCCTGTGAAGAGGCTCAGCTACACTAGCTTTATGTGGAAGAAAAGAATTGTAGAAATTCAGGAGGCCTAGGAAGGCCTGAAGTTCGGCCTTAGACTTTGGCCTGGGTGCTTCTAAAATAGCAGTTAGTTTGGATTCAGCAGGATGAATCCCAGCAGCATCAATTTTGAATCCCAGAAATTCAGTAGAAGGCACCCCAATCTTGCATTTGTCTTTTCTGAGCTTGAGGCCTGATTTCCTGAATCTTAACAGGACAGCCCTAAGCCTTTCAGCTAGAATGTGTGTGGAGTCTCCTGCAATCAAGACATCGTCAAAGTAGGGGCAGACCCCTGGTATACCTCGTAGTGTGTTTTCCATTACGCTTTGGAAAATCCCAGGAGCGACATTTACTCCAAACTGTAGCCTTTTTACTTTAAAGGCTCCCCTGTGGGTCACAATGGTCTGAGCTATGGCAGCATCATCATCAACAGGCAGCTGTTGATATGCTTGAGCTAGGTCAAGCTTTGCAAAAACACGCCCCCCCTTGAGAGAGGCCAGGATGTGACTGACCACAGGAACAGGATAGGCATGTTGCTGCAATGCCTTATTGAGTGTGCATTTGTAATCAGCACAAATGCGAATGTCCCCATTTGCCTTTAGAGGCGTGACAATGGGGGTCTCCCACGGGCTGGAATCAACAGGTTCTAGGATTCCCTGTTGGATTAGTTTGTCTAGTTCAGTGTCAATCTTACTTTTTAAAGCAAAAGGGACCCTTCTTGCTTTAATCCTAATGGG